GAAAAATGCTTTATGCCACTAGAATCAGCTCGTCGAGCTCTATCGATTGGGGTACCTCTCGTTAGCATCTGTGATTAACACTTGGGATAGTTCCCTCGTAAGTACAATCTAGTCGTTGACAGAAGCGGCACATCATACTTTGTAAACATGTTCGGCCTTAAGTTGGAGTTTCAAAGAAAAGCGAATGAAATGAAACTAGTTTTCTTTGATAAATATAAAGCAAACTTACTCTGCGTACGGACTATTTGTTTGCCAGACACCCTAGTAAAAGAGCAAGGATTCAACATAAATGATGAACTGTTTCAAAATTTAGATGGCATACCGGTGGTGACGAATATGTTGGTTTAAACGATGATAATGGCGATGGTGATGGTGGAAACAGTGGATTTATTGCACAATGATGATGAAAATATGGTTCGGTATGATGACGAGCAATTCCATTTAATGTTGTAAATGCACGGTGATCTTTTGTCGATGGATCCTGTAACGCGGGAAATGAAAGTTTATTTTAATAAAATATTCCTGAACATACATGTTGAAAATAAACATCTTCTGTTTCGCCTTACTTTAAGCATTGTTTGTATTTCTTTTGCTTTACGTTTCGCTAACACTTGTATATGACTTGATACTTGTTTTCTTGTACGAGACTTTCCTGTACGCATTTTGATGTAACGTGATATCAGTTCATTTCTACCATACATTTTTCCTTCTTCAGATAATATAATTTTTCTTCTACCACATGGTGGATAAATGGCAAGCGCTTCCTACAAAAATATCATCGTTTACATCTGTCGACTCTACATTAAACGAGGACTTATACAGTATCTTTCACAGTTTGTGCGTGTACCGTCTCGAAAGTGCTACGTAGCAAAATCCTAAACAATATCGTCTATCACGTGTACAGCATAATGCATACGTTCTTGAATCGACAAGCTAGAAAGTTTCTCTACGCACATGAAAACTTTGTTCAATATCTGGGCTCCAAACACCTTCGGCATCATTTCCACAATCATCATTGTCTTCATTAGTCGATGTACTTTCTTCTGATTTAATACTGCAACTTGTTGTATCTAGGTCTTTCAAATGAGACCAAGTTGAGGTCATACTAAATAGAAAATATTCAATATATTCCAAGTGTAAACAAACATAAACATTTAATTTATCACTAACCAAAATGTTTAAAATATTTAAAAGAACAAAATACATATTTTTGCACACGCGCACGTCGTAGGCTGAATGATTGAATCTTTAGATTATTGTGTGTGATGATCAAAAATGACCATCGTCACACGTTACATAATGATTAAAAGGAAAAAGTTAATTCGATAAAGAAACAATAACTGACTTTCTCTCTCTCTCACATATCATCCCCATGCAAACAAGAATGAAATGAACAAACAACAAGGAGCTTAAGACCAAACGCTAACAATTCAGCTTTTACTACCCTCGTTTCAATAGTAATGTCCGATATTTCGATTTCTATATTAAACTAAAATTGATGGAGACTCTGGATTTTTTTTCTTTTTAACTGTAGATTGGTTATTAAGTTTAGAGAATCATGAATTAGATGATTTATGTATATTAAAATACGAGGATTTGAGGAAATTTCTAAGAGTATAACTGACAGTTAAATAACGGCCTCTGATAGAAAAATATTTTAAAGTCTTACTGCCAGGGTATAACCCAAGTTTTGAATTGTTCTGTTATTATAATAGTTTATTATTTGTAATATCCTTTGTTGAATGAAAAATTACTAATTAATTACTTTAGTCACTACTATTTTTAGGTTAAATCGTAGTCAAGAGTTTCAGTGGTTTAGTTCATATTATATAGGGATTTTTAATTGCTTTAAATAGTTAGTATAAGAAAAAAATTTTTTGGAACAATATGATATCAAGCAACATTTCAGCATACATCCAATTCTTACCAAATTTAATACAATATAAAAAGAATGTACTCTCTTCTAATTTATTTCTTATATATGGTAAACAAGAAATGAATTGAGATATTAGTGCATTAAGATTTTAATTGAAATATCTCAGCAAATCGTGACAAAAGCTTTTAGTTAACTGTTCGAATTACTATCTTAATCAAATGAAATGTGTCTATAATCATTCTACATCTAAATTTGACATGAAAGAGACTTACTTGAAACGTTCTATCATACTTGCCATATCATCGACAATATTCGCGTTTTATATTACGTTTTGATAAGTAAGACACTTTATTTTTATTGTTGATAACAATGATGAGCTATTTCTTCTTTTTTTTTCTTCTCTCTATATATCTATCACATCCTCGTTATTATTATTATTATTATTAGATTTTTTTCAGTACCGAGAATAAACAGATATTCTATATTGGAATGTGCACGGATGAAATAGTTCCGCTATCACAAGTAAAAAAACTCCGATGTATTACTAATTCAATTTTCAAAAAAAAACGATAGAGATAATGATATGTTCGATGGTAGAGGTTTTGCGTGTACTCTTTTCAGGTATGTTATCTCATATGATGGTGAGAAGAGAAAAAAAAATCTGTACATACTTTTTTCTCTCTATTCCTCTCTCTCTCCATTATATCTTTTCCTCTTCATTTTTCTTTTATTCTCTAGTATAATTATGAAATTTGGCTTTAGGCACACACACACGCTGTTCATATTCATATACGATTAAACGATTTAAGTGAAAACGTACATTTACTCTTCCGTTTAGAAAATTTTAGCAAGTTTGAGATAATCATGACGGAACTGATGAATATTAACCAAAACAAAACGGTATTCTCTTTCATGCGCGACCAGTTGTTTTTTATTTGTTTAACAACAAATTCAATAAATGAATTAATTAATCGGATTATTCACTCGATAAATGATTATAGGTCAATTTTAGAAAACATTTTATGAACAGAAGATTACCGTAACGCTATTTTATTCATTTGAAAATTTCAGTTAGTGATAACTCCTGTTGACTGATTACTAATCGCAATCCGTTTGCAAGATTTTGTATCCGTTAAAGCTCATATCTGTTTTCTATTCTATGAAACTGTTACTAATATCAATAAACGTATGACAACTTTTTAGTACTTAGAGCTACTTACATTCGTAATTGGCAAATCTAAGCTTTCCTTTTGTAAACAGAACGTTTCACTTGGAAATTGGAGGAGTCCCTTAAAAGTCCCACCGGACTCCCTACACGAGTCCTGGGGAAGTTTTGTCGGGAGTTTCAAGTAGGATATTAATATATCTATCCATTTCAGTAGACTGTAGTAGATTGCTAAGACTGAATACTAACAGTTAGAATCTAGTTTTATTTTTACTTATTCCTTGAAAATGATTTGACTGCCCAGAACACTGAAAGCAACCGTCGCATACATCTGTTTAGGATCGGTTTACGATCATAAATCGTCGTATTCCATGCAGACGTAATGCGTTGTCGTATACGACGACCGTAAAGAAAACATGTATGATGTTCACAATCGTGTACGGCTTTTTACGACGGTTGCATACGATAACGTAATACGTCTGCATAGAATACGACCGTATTTGATCGTAAGTCGTCGTTTACGATCGTATGAATTCGATCTGGATGGTTACTTAGTCAATATTTTAGTTTAGTGTTTGCTGTTGGTTTTTCCTATCTCTATTTTCTTGTCTAAATTCAGATAAATAGATAAACAATTCGATAATTTGCTCTAGTCACTCAGATTAATAAGTTATATGTATCAAAGACATAATGAAAATGTACAACATCACTGCGTATTACTAATTAAAAGTGATTTTTACTAGAATAATCAAGATGTTTTTGTTTTTACAGTTCTTAGTACATTTTTACCGTCACAGCTCACCTGTTGTTTTCCCAATCAAATTTTGGATTTCTATAAATAACACCACAATTCATCATTTTTGTTTTAAAACAATAAGCAAAGTGAAAATTATAATTGTTCAAGAAAATGTGCCACTAAATTAAATCATAATTCTAAAAAAGAAAAGAAAGAGAAAACACGTTTCATCATATATATAATGATAGTTATAATTTTCCGCATAAAACTGATCAGTAACAGCTGTCAATGAATTTTCGCGTTCATACAACTTATTTTTTCATGTTCAATTTTTCATTCTGTAGTCAGTTTGAACCATTCGGTCATTCGCAAAAAAAATTGAACATAGCATTTAGTAGCCACACTATTTTTCCTCATTCATTATTCATTCTTATTTTGATTAGTAAATGTGCACCGACAGATAGATGTATTCATTTTAGATCAATTTAGAAAAAGAAAAAATTGACGTTTTTTGAAATACGTGCATGCAAATATCTTATCTATTCTTCATACGCCTTTCGTTTCATATCTACTATCCATTTCACAATATCCTATTTCCTCCTATTTTTAAGGTTCCCGGCATTTTTTAAAATCTATGAAAAAATTAGGTCTCCCGATCATCATGATGATTGAATGAAAATCTAGGAGATCCTTGTACCCCAAAAAGAAGATGAATTTTGACTTCCAAAAGGATGATTCGAACCACCGCAATCTATTCTACAAAACAACAGAGGTCCCAAGGTTCTTCCTATCGCGGTTTGGACGCTATGAGTTTCTTTCCAAGGTGCCTACCTGTCGGCTAAACTTCATGTCTGGGAATGTCCAAAATACGTGAAACATAGATTATCGATCCTCCTGAACCTCGTGGCAATATTGTGGCTTTTTCTGAAAAACTTCAGAGCCTAGTTAAACTCGATCCAAACTATGTTAGAATATCAAAATATACTCTGTTTTATCTACACTAAGAGCCAGAACCAGGCAGTTTTCATTATTTGATTGAAGAGCTCATGGGAAAGAAATCTATGAAAAAATTTAAGTCTCCGGATCAAACCAGAGTATATCCTGATTAGATATGATTCGAACATTAAATTCTATAGAAAAAGTTTTTATCTAAAAGACGAACTTATTTTACTACTAAAGAAAAAAGCCATACATGACCAAATATTACTTAGGTTATTCAACATTTTTTCTGCGTTTTTACAACACTTTGCGGTTAAGTTCAATGGCTTTTGTGATATTTTTTTATTGAAGATGAAAAATGATAGCGATATAGAACTTGAAAACCTTCCAAGAAGAAAAGAAAGGGATGAAGTTTTCTTTTTTTCTGACATGACATCATTTGCGGAATTTCGAAAGCGCATATATATGTACATAGCGAGTAAAACAGTAATCAATTTCAAACGTGCCCAATCAGATGATTTTAATGAAAAGGTATCTGTGTGCGTGTGTATAAATTTCTTTACTGTTATAGATGATAGTTAAATGTGTTGTTTTTTTTCTTCTTCGGTATGATTGTCGAAAATGACAAAGAATAATGTCATGATTAAAGAGACACGTTTCTTCTTACTTGTTCGTTTTTACTCACCATCATCTGACTCGATTCTGATAAACTGTGGGTGAAGTTCATTTAACTTTTTTTGTAGTGTTCAATTAATCACTTAAGATAAATGCGATACATCTAAAAAGTAGAGAAAAAACAAATGATGTTTACAAGTTATAAAAGGCTAACCACCCGTCTGCGATAGGCAAACAAGAAGGTGCGAAGATCATGTAGAAAAAAATAATGAACTGTAAACGCACAAATCATTTTCGACAAAAATGGAGAAAAGACTGACTTTAGATGTAGAAAATTGACGGGAAATTTTATTTTTGTTTAATTCATCAAATATGCGACGATATATACGACCTTATACATTTGAAAACTTATCATATTAGACAAAAAATCGAGATCTAAATCTGTTGAGAAGTGCAAGTAGGAAGCATTTATGAACAACATCAGCGCTTCTGAAGCGACCTTCAGTAAACTTTTCGAAATTGCAACGAGAAAACAAAAAATTCATCGATCAAAAGAGTTTTCTTGTTACATATTTTAAATTGCTCTTCGCAATAGCGAGCGTAATCGATTATACAAATAGAAAGATCATATTCTGTTCAATTATTCTTCTACTGTAACATTTTTCAAGTAATTTGAAAGACGGACAGGCGAGTTTGACTTTGAAAAGGACCAATCGATCATGATATAGAACAGTATTGATGTTCTTACGTAAACGAGTAATATGTAGTTTGTTTTACACAAATCGTATATCATTTTTGATTTCATTTTCAGAAAAAAGTTTAACACTTTAAGATAAGGGTTATTGAACTGTAGAGTTTAATAAGTTACATAAGCTAATAGTCTTAAAGTTTGTTATTAGGGACTGAATCAATCAAAATTTAATCATTAAGAAAAACATATAAATTAGACCATGTTGAGAAAAAGCAAACGAGACATTTTCTCTTGCATTTCAGGTGTGTGTAGAGTCATTTCAATATGAAACACTCTATAGTTGATATAATTACGTATGATGAGTGAAAAATGTATCTATTATTGATGAGAAACAAAAAAATATGTAGTTATAATGAACTGTATGTTATTTCAACATCAAAAATTTGTTTCTTATTCATCAATGTACATATGTGTATATATGAAGATGTAAATATGTATAATTTATGATTATATGTTTGTTTTCCGGTTTTACAGATATTTTTTTAGATCGACAGGAAATCAAAACATACCTAAATAGAAGAACAAAAGTGGATGAACGCGCAACAGACGAGAAAGATAATAAACACAACACATTCAATTGAAAAATTTTGAATTGAAAAACAAATTATAGAACTATCATTTCATGTTCGAATAAAACTATTTTATTTTTTCTTCGCGAACAATTGTCTAGGAGAAGAAAATAAAAAGAACATCATAGATACAAGAAACTATGCATAGATCTGTAGCCATGAAATGTAATGACGAGGAAAATAGCAAAACATATAGAAATCATTCAACTTGAGACGTGAAAAATGACAGGGAAAACTCGATTTTGGTTTTCGATCAAGAATGAACTTTCAGATGGGACTTTCCTCTAAAACTTTTAACTGCTGAACTACAATATCTTCACAAATGTATATGTTTAAAAAATTATTTTTCTGGAACGATGTTTTTTAATCAATTTTGCAACAATTTTTCGATTCTATCTATTTTCTTTTTATAAAAAACTTCAAAGTTTGTCCGTCTTTTTTTTTATATAGAGAAATACTTGAAAATAACATAAGTGTTACGTGTACGATCAACGCAAGAGAGAAGAGTCGAAACGATTGTCGT